TTTCCTTGGTTTGCAGTTGCTACCGTTTCCCAGATTTGCAAAGTTTTGTAGATAATATTTAAAAACTGCAGTAGCTGCTGTGGAAAAAAAAAAAAAAAAGTGAATCTGGATGTGTGCAGTCTTAGCTAACAAACTAGAGAAGCTCTAAGCATTTCTCAGAAACCCCGGTTTTATGTACTTGTAAAATACACGTAGACATGTGAGAGCTTTATTACTGGTTTTAATGCTCTGTAATGGGAAATGTTAAACTATCTGCTGGGATTTAAATGTTCTCTTTAATCCTCTTTCCTGCAGGGAATACCTGGCTCTGAATGTATATGTTGCCCTATGCTATTACAAACTGGATTACTATGATATATCACAGGAAGTGCTAGCAGTTTATCTTCAGCAAGTTCCTGACAGCACCATTGCTCTTAACCTTAAGGCTTGTAACCATTTCCGACTTTACAATGGGAAGGCTGCTGAGGTATCTGTTGGACAGTCCCTCAATTCACCTTTATTTTAGTTTAAGAATCCATACATGTTTCTTTTTCTTCTTATCTGTCTTAATCAGTAATGTTTTAATGGCCTTTATCTTGTCATTGCATCCTTCTTTTCGGAATGTCACCCATTTCAGTTTCCCTGGTATTAACCCATCCATCCTTATGTGTACACAGTGGTCTTACTATTTTCCCAGTTCACTTTTGATCTTGTGTTTGTACGTATTATCCAGTTTCTAAAATTATCACAAAGAAGTGGGAAAGCCAAATCTTCCAGTGACGCAGTGCTGGTGGAGATATATTTCTGTCAGCTTTGGAGCTCATTTGAAGCTCCATTTAGGCTTCTGTGGTTTTATGTTAAAATTCTGGAATATATGTAATTCCAGGCAGAGCTCAAGAACTTGACTGACAATGCCTCATCATCTTTTGAATTTGGCAAGGAGCTCATTAAGCACAATCTGGTAAGTAATGCATTTCTGGGATTTAATATGAGCAGCACTCATTTGTAGAGCTTTTCATGATGATTCATAAAATGGAGTATTTTGGTAATTGCAGACCTAATAGAATTTTTCTTCCATGCAAGTCCCATTCCAGGAATCCTACCTGTATAATGAATGTGCCGTCTAGTGTATTCATTTTTCCCCTGGAATTTTTCCCTGACAGTTTGAGACTGTGTCAAGGAAAATAATAATGCTGTTGATTGTAGACCTGAAGGCATATTAAAATAACGTATGTTGTGTAAGAATACCTTTGCAAGATATTTTGTGGAGCCCACTCAGTAAGGCAACTGTAGAAACAAGTCAGAATGTTTGACCCTGAACTCTTTATTTAGTACCACAACAACGTGAGTGGAATTAAGATAACTAGTGAAAATGACCTTCATCCAAAAAGTACTAAATAAAGAGTTCTAGGAAAAAAGCTGCTTGTAAAAGCCAAAATACTTGTGTATTCTGCAGAAGAAGAGTCACTAATCACTAGTTAATTTTCCCTTCAGTGGTATTATTACTTTGCTGTACAACTGGTAACAGTAGATTGCTCCTATTTAATGATGGGCAGTTGCTTGCTTTGTCGTTTTTCAAGAGCAGTCATAACAAGCTAACGCTTCTTTCCCCAAGAGTTAAAACTGTTTTCAAACTGGACTTTTGTCAGTTAACATTCTTTATTTTGTATGCTGGTCTTTTTGCCACTGGTTTATTGAATAACTGTGTTAGATTTTGTGGAAGAACCATCATGTGAAACTGAAGTATAATCAACTGCTCCTGACTATTTTAGCATTTTTCTAAATAAATGTAGAGTTGTTAGTCTAATTTTTTCATATAAAAAAATCATAAGCAAATTGTAATTTTGTATGTGTTCACTCTTGTTTCAGACAATATTAATCTTTTAAATCTGTGATACAATTTTGAGCTGCTAAAAGTTGAAATAAATTAATCTTTACTGATGGATTAAGTACTTTATATTCTTCTGAATAAAGACTGTCACACTTGGTAATTCTATAGCTATATTAAAGCAGGGATTATGCTAATGCGTGAGCCACTGACCTTTTCCTACTGTTAATATAGGAATTTAAGGATTAATTTCCTTGAATTAAGATATCATTGAAGAGATTTTGATACACGGTTATCAATATGCTGCTTTTCTCTGCAGGTGGTTTTCCGAGGAGGAGAGGGGGCTTTGCAGGTCCTGCCTCCACTGGTTGATGTTATTCCTGAGGCAAGACTGAATCTTGTGATTTACTATCTCCGGCAAGGTAAATGCACTTTCCTCTGACTTTTTCATACCTTCGGAGATGACATTAATTCATCTTATCTCAACTGACTATTCAATGAAATGCTTTTTTTCTTTGCAGGAAAATGTAATGTATTTAATTTTCTTTTTCTCCAGAAAATAGTGAAGTAAGAGTTTCCATGGCTTGCAGAGAAGGGCTTCAGTTGTGTGCAGTCAAATAAACCTATGTTATCAAAATATTGCAGGTTCTTGGGTTGCAGGAGATGGCTT